TGACAAAGTCATATGACTATTATATCACAGAAAATAGAAAATCTGGAAGTCACCAAAAACATAGCAAATGACAGAAATTGGTGCTTAGCAAGAATAGGGTCTCATCATTGTCCCCTTGACTGAAATTTTGATTGTCCCCAGTCAACCATTAAAGTCCTATGATTTGCTAGCTGGTCTGTCCATGGATTTTGAATCAGAATCCAGAACATATCACTAATCCAAGTAAAGAACAATAACCGAGAAGGATGAAAGCAAGATATATCCCAAAAACAAAGATTCTTGAAGCAAAAACAATTATTGTAGCAGAGACCAAAGGAGGCATGATATTGCTAGGACTGGATGGTGGAGCACTTACTATGGTGCTAGCTGGATTGGGCAAGTAGGAGAGGGAGGTTACCCAGGGTTAATTCCAGGCACAGTCAGCCTGCCCACTCTTCATGTCATCACACTTGCCCCTGCTCATTGTCTATTGTCTTGCTGGCCACTCAATATTGTATATATACCTGTGAGCAACATGCCAGAGACTTTGTTGTCTCACACTGTGCTTGCAGGCAAGTCCTCATTCCATGTAGTCTCACATTGTTTCACACTGCACTCACAGTGCATTTATCACTATTGAATTTACATTAGATCACACATTTTATTGTTGATCTAATCAATTGCTTTTGTTCTCACACATCAGTACATGTGAACAGCTAGCCACTTCATAAGAGGATCATCTGCTTTTAGAATCATAACAACCCCTCCACCTGCTGCATCTATGGATGGGCCAATATCAGCCAATGAGTTTAACTCCCTTCCAGATTCTCATGCTGAGCTCCATGCAATGGTTTGGGAACTTCTTGCATGGTTGTCACCAGCTTCTTTGGCCAACTAGCCAGCTAGTTTTGTCCCAGCCAACTCCTCACCTGTGGCACCAACTGGGATGTTTGTACCTCCTATAGTGGGAGCTGGTGTAATCAGTGCATTGTCTACTGCCTCCCTTTCCCTTTGTGCACATTTCTCTAATGTTGATGTGGCTGTGCTGAGGGCTATCATCTTGCACAATTTCAAGGCACTGGACCTCCAGAAATTTGACCTGACACAGCATGAAAAGGAGATGGTATATACCTTTACTGGGTCTACAAATCAATTTGTGGTTAGTCACAGGTTGGCCAAGGGATATCAGACACTCTTCTCCATTATAATCCCTCTCCAGACCTATTTTGACATCCTGGCTGACTGCACACAGGCACTACATGTGGGAAGCCAGATCATGGCAAGAATACTCACAAGGATTAGGACCAAGGCAGGGTGAGCTGTCATCCACCTGCCTAATCATCTTGCCCAGGCCATGCTTTGGGTGAATCTGCTCAGTCTCCTGTTTCTTTGCTCTGGACCCTATCAGTCATACCATCTCCCCTCCCCACCCAAACACTGACCCCACATAAACACTCTCCTCCTCAACACCTCTCATCTGCCTTGTGTCTCCTCAATGCTCAATGAGGATGCATGGGTACATTATTTACAAGATTACTCCAACTGTATCTATGTAAACTCCTTAATACAGTGACATGGTCAACCATGCTATCCAGGACATCATAGCATCAGGACTAGGCTCCCTAATGCTTAAGCTGGACCTGGAGTCTTCCTTCAACCATATCCCTATCCATTCTGCTGACTGGCTTGTCATGACCCGCTCCCTAGACACTGCTCCCAACCCCTCCCGATTTCCCGTCTAACTCCCCTGAACCCCGCCCACACTTTTGTGCCCACACTGGATAACTCTGACGCTTCTCCAGCAAACCCTGACAGCAACTCCCTCTCCGTAGCCATCAACACCCCCCTGAAACCTTCCCCCACCGTTCCTGGCCATGTCATACATCCCCGACCCCCTACCCTAGTTTACTAGAACCGTCCCGGAGTATCACGACGTCCCCGGAGCGGTCGCGCCCCCAACTGATCCCATCAGAATACCGCTGCGGCCCGACCTTGGAATGTACCCGACACCCATCGACTCCGCACAGCTCTGTTGACCCCCGCCACCATATCTGCCACCCTCCAAGGTACCCAGTAGTCGGTATATAAGTCGTAGAATAACTCCTCGAACGGTAGTCTTGATATTACATTTACCGGTTTCCTATGTTTCATCTCTCATCTCATCTCTATTCCTGTTTTTAAGTTTCAAATCTATCTTTTTTTCTCAGTCTCATCTTGTCTCTGTCTCGTCTCGACTGTACATATTTCCTTTGTTCCTCTAAGTTTCCCCTGCTCCCTATGTCAGTATGAACTCCGCGCATGCACCATGACCCAAACATTCTTATGACAACTCCGAACCTTGCTACCCACTTGGCCCCGGAACCCATCAAGCCCTGGTAATCCCCAATCCAGCTCCGACCCCGCCCCCATCACCCGAGAAGCCTCCGCTTACCCCGCAATCTATTTGCACGCCCACGAACTAGCCCTGACACCCGCCCTGGGTCAATGACCAGTATCTTTGGTCTTAGACTCCTCCGGACCATTCAGGACTTACTCAGGCCGCCCTCCCTAGGGACCCCCTCGCAAGCTTTCCCCACCTCCGCTCCAACTCCGGACGCCTGGTTATAAGTGCAGGACATTGCGTCCGCCTAGTAAGGACTTGCCAGTGTACTGAGCCCCCGTCATCAGCGGAACCTGACATGGCTACTCCTGGGCTTTGAGTTGCTCAGAAAATTTCTGCTTGCATATTCCACTACCTCAACAATTTCCTTTGCATCTTCCCTCTATCCTCCTCTCAGCCTCTTATTGACTACCCAACTTAGACTGCAATTCCTACCATCCAAGATTGTGGGACCAGACACAACAATAGAGTTCCTCAGGCTGGAACTAGATTTGGTTGCCATGGAAGTCCACCTTCTCATCAACAAACTCAGTTACCTCCAGAGATCTCACCTCATACTGGTTGGGAAAGTGCTGCTGCACACACTACAAGCTAGACAAGCTCACTGGCTTTTTGCAGTTTGCATTGCAAGTCATTCCTCTATCTCAAGCATTTCTTCATGCCCTCTATGACTTTGCTGCCTCATTTGCATTTTTCTCTTTCACCACCTACAACATCCCCAAGACTGTTAGGCATGTCATCCTCTGGTGGGATTCAGTGGCTCCTGAGTGGAACAGAGTATGCCTCTTTGTACCCACAAGGTGCAGGATTGATGTCTTCACTGACAACAGTGGTGCAAAAGGCCTGGGCAGCCACTATGGAGCAGAGTGGCTCTCTGCTCACTGTCCATGCTACCTGTGCAGTGCCCATATCCAGGTGATAGAAATGCTCACTGTCATCCCTGTGTTATGCTAGGTTTACCTATTCAAAGGAGCCCATGTGGTTTTCTGTGTAGATAATGAAGCTTTTTTCAATGCAGTTCAGAACAGAACAATTTGATCCATTCCCATAATGAAGTTTGTCAAACACTTGATAGCCCTAGCCTGCCACCTTGACTTTTCTTTGTCTTCTGAGTAGCTCTCTTCATCTGAGAACTTGATTGCTGATGCTGCCTCTGGTTTTGCCTTTAGCTGCCATGCAGAGGACACAACAGCTAGCAGTTGTGCAGGTAGAGTATGCATGGACTAAAGAAAATGAGGGCATGAGTTGAGCTAGGTCCCAGAGAACCTGGTTTAGTACAAGCAGTTCTAGTTTACTAGTGCAAAGTCAGTAGAGAGAAGTGTAGTGAAGGAAAGGAACTCTGTGGATAAACCCAGCTAGAGTTTATATGAAGTCACAAGCATAAACAGTGCTGGCAGAGCAGTCCTAAAAGAGATACTAGGCAATAGCAAATGTGTTAGCAAAAAGGAGCAATAACAAACTGCAACTAGCCTGCAACAGATAAATCTAATTCAGCACAACATGATCAAGTGTGTAAGCTATACCTGACAACATGTAAGTCTAATTCTCAATGCACATTGTCAGTATGTATTGAGTCATGTACTAGGAACATGTCCTCACCTTTAGCACAATATAATTGAGTGAGAGTTTGTATAAACTAGGATGGTATATAAGTATCTGAAACAATAGAAAGAGGAGTGGCTAAGAAGCCAATATCTTTGGACAATGAAGGAAGTGGCCAAAGGGCCAGTTATCTGAACAATGCAAATGTCATGGTGCTGTGCTGTGATTGTGGTCTGGTTGCATTTATATATGCCAACATTGACAAGGTGAGGATGGATAGGAGCTGTATCCATCAAAATATAGGTACAAAAGCAGAATATTTTCACATTCCATGCAATGCACATAGGGAGGTGCCAAGTCAAGGCACCACAGCAAAGAATTCAAGATACTGAGCCAGATACTGAACAGTGAGGAATGGTATGGATAGGAATAAAAAGGGGTGATGAAAGCAATCCAAAAACAGCCTAGAAGAACCTTGGAACATGGGTTCAGCAAGGGTAGAGTGATAGAGTTCAACAGTGTGGAAATTGAGGCAAATGGTCCCACAAATCACAAGATATCTGTGATCAATGATTGGAACAATGATGACAGCACTGAGTTGGATCCATTACTTGGATTGGTACAGAACCAGGGACTGCTGGATAGTGCCTCTTGAGGCAAGTCCAACAGTGCTAGAATTGAGGGAAACAGTCCACTGGATCACAAGATATTGCTAAATCAGTGATTGAGCACAACATTGAGCATTGACCATGAAGGGGTGGGTGTATGGATGCAATCTTGTAATTCATACCATGCAAAATACATGTCTTCATCTCACAAAAAAAGCAAAAATAACTGTTGTTAACAAGCAGTTGGCTTTGTCAACTCAAAACACCTCACATTATTTGATTTTTGGAAGTATACTGTTGATAGTCAATGTCCTTTCAACAATGAGCGTAAAAAGATCAATCACCATGCAAACAGAATCCTGAATAAATACTGTTTGTTGAATTATCATCTCCCAAAAGGCCTTGGTTTCAATGAAAAGATCTGTCCTTGATGTACTACGGACTCTGATAACTGACAGATACTAAGTTCCAGAAGGAGGATCATCACAGAATCGGGTATGGTGTAACGGCTAACATTGCCGCCTTTCATTTATCTACAAGTACAGATGTTTGCGCGGCAGCTCGGGGTTCGATTCCCCGTACCCGAATGTTCTACCACTTATCCTACTTTCTTCATTTTTTCTGACGACTAGGTCTACCGAGGTGTTTCTTTATTGTTCTAATGATAACATCGTTTTCTCTCCCATTTTTGTTTTGGTTCTGCCTTTTTTTTTTGGATTTTTTGTTGCTACTTGCTACGACTAGACTCGTACAACGTACGAACGTCCATTTCATACCAGAAACATGAAATTAAGGGCACTCGCGGCAGTCGGGTGTGCTACCTGGATGTATACACTTCAACAAGAATATTCACACAATCGGGTATGGTGTAATGGCTAACATTGCCGCCTCTCATTTCGAAGGTGATATGAGATCCTTACGCAGGAGCTCGGGGTTTGATTCCCCGTACCCGAATGAATGAGCGCATGCATTAGTTTTTTAATCTTTATGGTTTCGGTATGACCCCAAACTCACAAGGAAAGTGTGATGAGGATAGACATACAATTAATCGGCCATCCCAAGCTCGGTATTGTTTATTGTTACTAAAACTCTTCGCATGTGAACTTGGCCGTTGGTCTACGCGTTCAGGCATTTCAACGGCAGAATACATTCCCTACTTTCATATATTTGGGTTCGTTATTTGTGCTACTTGCTATGACTAAAGCTCACTAGTACAACCCCATTTCATAACCATACACATCTGACGCGTGGTGCTTAGGACGTAGAACACGTCGGAAAGGATATAACGGATAGTTGGGTATGGTGTAATGGCTCAACCATTGCCGCTTCTCATTCGTGCAAGATTTTGAATCTTTCCGCGGCAGCTCGGGGTTCGATTCCGTATGCTTGGTATCTATCATCTTTGTTTTTTTTTTTGTAACAGAACTCACAGCATCCCCCTCACCGATTACGCACAAAAGGCCTCTAGAGGTTTGCTACGTATGGTATGGGTATGGTATAGATATTGAAGAGGAGCACAAACAACAAATCGGGTATGGTGTAACGGCTAACATTGCCGCCTCTCATCGGAGACTTTGAATGGTTACGCGGCAGCTCGGGGTTCGATTCCCCGTACCCGAATTTCAGTGGTCCTGAAACATTTTTTTATTGGCTACTCGTTCATAAAAACGAGATCAAGGCGACCTTGATTCCAATAACGAAACGATACGAAGCTACACAAAACGAAACGAAACGATACAACAACTCCCATCTCCGAATCAGAATCACTCTATGGATGCATTTCCTTATTTTTCTTTGTTGGCCACTCCCGTTCGTTCATAAAAACGAGATCAAGGCGACCTTGATTCCAATAACGAAACGAAACGATACGATACGAAACGAAACGACACAAAACGATACAACAACTCCCATCTCCGAATCAGAATCACTCTATGGATGCATTTCCTTATTTTTCTTTGTTGGCCACTCCCGTTCGTTCATAAAGACGAGATCAAGGCGACCTTGATTCCAATAACGAAACGAAACGATACGAAACGAAACGACACAAAACGATACAACAACTCCCATCTCCGAATCAGAATCACTCTATGGCTTCCTTTCCTTTTTTCTTTCTTCTTTTTGGCCACTCTCGTTCATAAAAAAAATGAAATAAACCCCCATGTCAGTCGACGTTAATCCCTCATCAGCAACGCAAAAGCAACGAAACGATATGGTATTGTACGTACGGTTCTTCACCTACATCGTATGGTCCTTATGCATAACCGTGGCCTTCTCAGCACTCGGGTATGGTGTAACGGCTAACATTGCCGCCTCTCATTTAAATACTTTGAAACGTCGCGCGGCAGCTCGGGGTTCGATTCCCCGTACCCGAACTCAATGATGAGAAGCACTATTTTTATTAGCTACTCGTTCATCAAATACGACACGAGCCAGTCCATCTCACATGTCCGTTCTTTAATATCGTCTTCCTCGTTCGTGATAAAGAATTACATTTAGTTCATCTCACGTAGCCATATAATAAATACTCGTCAAATACTTCTCCCTGTACCTTGTAGTGGTGCCAACGGCCAAGACGCCGTTCCTGATCGCGCTAGTGGAGAGATGATGGAGGACGACGTGGGAGGGGACGGGAAGGACGCTGGCGTCGTCGGTGAGTGGGATGGGTGAGTCGTCGGCCGGGAGGGAGATTGTGAGTGGGCGGGTGGGGGGTATGACGGGGGACGCAGGGGAGGCAGGCGAGGTGGGTACGGGCGTGTGGGTGTCGGCGGCGGCGGGCACAGTATCAGGCTCGACGTCCACCTCGCTCGGCGGCGGGGCGGGGGGCGGGATGCGTCTATCACGCTCACGCTCTCTCCTCTCTCGATCCCTATCCCTCCACCCATCCCTCCTGTCCCTCTCCTTATCCCTCACCTTCCTCCCCGAGCTGCTCGGCCCCTTGCGCACAGGCACCGCGCCGCTCCCGACGACGGCCCCGCCCTGCACGACGGCCCTCGCGTTGAGAATGAGCTTATCAAGGTGCCTCGGGAGGCCGGGGGCAGGGGGGATATTGGGCGCAGGGACGAACCCGGATATTCTGTGTGTCTGTGTTGCGGAGCCTGTGTGCCCCTCGGACGCGGCGAGGTACGCCTCCTCCTCGCGGGCGGCCTCGATGAGCTCGGGGGGGAGGAGGTTTGTCCATACGGGCTGGGCGTGGGGGGATGGGGAGGTGGGTGTGGGCTCGTGGGCGGAGGCGGGGTCGTCGTCTGAGGCGGCGCTCCAGAAGCTTTGGCCGGGGCGTTTGTTGAGCACGGGGGAGGCGGTGGAGGGGGGCGAGTAGGTGCTGGGGACTGCGACGTAGTTTGCGAGGGTGCCTTGGTCGTCGACGGCGGTTGGGAGGTCGTCGGCCACGCGCCAGGTGTCGTCGACCAGGAAGCGGAAGTGGTGTGTGCCGGGCGGGAGGTTGACGGTTGCGTGGTAGCCTGTTGCACTGCAGGGAGTGAGTGGGGGTAAGTTGGAAAGACAGGTGACTACACACTCTGGAGTCATCGCGAGACGGCCCTTCCAGTCGTCGTCGCCTGCGCGGGCAAGACAGATGGACTTGGCGGGGCCACCGCGCCACGTGATCGTGACTGGGACAAGCTCGGGAGGGTGGTGGACGTGCGAGAGGCCAATGGGCAGCGCAGACGTGACGGTCTCGGGCACAAACGGGAGGCGTGGCGGCTGCTGCGGGGGCTGATGCGACTGATCGTACAGTTCCTGCATCCGACGCGACCGGCTGCGGTGGCGCTCAGCACGCGACGGCGGCGGGAACGGCAGATGCGCCGCCGGCTGCTCCAGCAGCTGCACATCAGTCGTGCTGGGCAGCGCAATCGGCGCCCGCGTCCGCCCGGCCTCCCCCGCCGCCGCCGGCCCAGCTGGGATCGGGATCGACGCCGACTTGGGCGGAATCGACGCCTGCCGCCCCCGCGTCGACGACAGTGTCAGCGACGCCAGATCCGGCAGCTCCAGCGACTTTTTCTTCGTCCGCAGCGACGGGTGCGGGTTCCCCGGCGAGGGCGATGGCGACGATGACCCCTGCTGCTTCTCCTGGCGCGGACGCTGCCCGCCCCCGGCGTTGGATGCTGCGTTCCCCATGGCGGCGACCGACAAGATGCGTAAACGCCCTCTGTTTGCCCGTGTTGACGCACTGTCAAGACGCCCAATAAAAAAAATATTCGGATACGGGGAATCGAACCCCGAGCTGCCGCGACACTCGCTGAGAGGCGGCAATGTTAGCCGTTACACCATATCCGATGCAATAGAGTTGCATAACCACGCCCCACATACCCATCCCTCTGCCTCACACCGCCGCCGCCATCGCTGCTGCGGCCTGCATGGCGCACACCACGAGCAGCCCCGACCTGCCCCCGCGGCCGCTCCCCTGGGGCCCACCCGAACACTCCGACTCCTTCGCAGAGGCCCTCAAAGCCCTCGACACCTACAAGCAGCGCGATCCCTCCAAGGGTACGTCCCCTCCCCACCACCACCAGTCCACCCCACTACCCTCCCCTCCCCCCAGTCATCGTGCGCTTCAAAGCCGTCGGCAACGCCCCCATCATGAAACAAAACTTTTACAAAATCACTTCCAGCAACCGGTTCCAGGCCGTCATCCAGTTCTTGCGCAAGGAGCTCGGCTGGCAGGCTGGTGATCCCCTTGTGAGTCCCATTGCTGCTGCTGCTGCGCTCGTGCTGGGCTCATGCACACCGCCATAGTTCACGTATGTTAACCTTGCGTTCTCGCCTGCGCCGGACGATACAGTCTCCAACCTCTTCAAGGTGTGTGTCTCGCCCACTTCCCAACTCGACCTCTCATCCCCGCGCGCAGTCATTCGCAACAGACGGTCACCTCATCGTAAACTACAGGTCCGTACCTCTTCCCCCTCCATCCCCTTCTACAACTCACCCAACATACAGCACGACCGCCGCATGGGGATAAGCTTGTATGTATACCCACACACATGATAATTCAAGCACTTTCTGCGTATGTTCGAGTCCAAAGTCACAAAAAAATGCCGACACATACAACGTGTACGCTCATCGAGAGAATCGAACCCTCGCCACCAAGCAGTATGTATGTATGCACGCACGCTCAGATGTATTAAAGTCCAAAACAAAAAGTTGTTCTCACGCGACAATCACGTGGGCGACCTCAGTCCGTTAGGACAGACATCCATCTCCCCGATTTTTATCCAGGCAAGCCCAAGGAAACTCTTTGCGTTATCCGCCCTCCACCCTTCGTATCCAAGTAAAATCAGCCGTAACCGGCGGTCAAAAGAAATGGGGTATTTTCCGGCTGGAGCTTGAGCGGCAACTACCTCCCGAAATTCCCAGCTGATTTTTCTCCCGTAAATCTGTGTCGCATGAGTTCTTTGCATTTTGCATCAGTGTATCCTCAAGATATTCATGATTCTTTCGACGCGCCCGTGTAGTAATTTTCAAAATTCAGCTGGGGATTCGGGAGGTGCTGCTATCCAGCGCCTATTCCCATCTCAACCAGAAACAATCATCACATCACATCTTCAAGGCTCACGATACGGCGAACCAACCATAGATGATGAGGGTAGACGAAAAATACGTGAAACTAGCTTTAGGCTAGCGGGCGGAAATAATCGTTGAATTAATTTCTCACTGACCTGAGGAAAAAAAAACGTCGAGGATGGATGTCCTTACAAGGACTCAGTTTCCATCCCCCTCAGGTGAGCACGTGTTCATCGCGATGTTACTTGAGTTTTTCATATTGGGGAGGGTAAGAACTTCTTGGTTTTTTACTTCAACCCAAAGAACGAAACCTCTTGTTCAAATGACGGGAACGTGGATTCGAACCAGGCTTACATGTACATGTACCGTCTCTCCCCTGAGACCCTCTCTCAGGCTGTAGTCTCAGATGGATCACCCACTAATCACTGTTTAGATACAGGCTACGGCTATCTCGACTCAGCACCCGCACTCTCTGTCCTTCATCCTTCACGGGGGCTTTCTTTGTCCAGGTGTGGTGTGTCAAAACTCGTCCTCACCGTCACATATCCCCAATCAGTGTATTATACACAACAGCACTGAAACTTCACATAAAAATACTTCCTGGTTATCAAGATTTGGGAACGGGGAATCGAACCCCGACTTCTTTGTCATGATGAGTATCTTCACAGCATGAAGCGCTCAGCTCGCAAGATGACATATCACTAACCATTACTAATCCAGTACAGTGAGTCGTGTTTCGCAACAACACCGAAATTTCACACAAAAAAACTTCCTGGTGATCAAGATGGAATCGAACTTCAACTTCGTCATGATGAGTATTTCAACAGCTCTGTGGTAGGCTGAGACGGATCGCCGACCCGTTTTCATAGTGTTCGGGTGCTAGCAAAAGAAATCAGTATGTACGTTGGTGCTGCTCATGATCAGCCAAATGTATCATCCTATCGTATGTGCATACACAAAAAAAGTAACAGTAACACCACATATCTAGTACCGAACCACAGTCTCGTGTACATCAACGACGGGTGTAGCCATCGCGGCTCATTTTAGACTATTCGACTACTCATCTTTTGTTTCATTCTTGGTGCAGTCAACCATATAGTAAGATTACTGTATGCCACTCAAAGGCTGAGTATTTGTACGCAGACATCAGAAAAGTGATTTTATCAAAGTAAAACCAAGTTTTCGGCTGTTCATTGATCATTATGTTCCCTCGAAGTGTGGGTGGCAGGGATGGGTAGATCACCACTGCTGCACTCTTGCGTAGATCAATGAATCACGGGGCCTGAGGCTAGACATGCAAAATGGATTGTATTCAGGAGTCGGGAGTCGAACTCTGAGTATATCCTCCATCGTGAATGTAGTATTGATCTGGGTAGTAGTACTGAGCTTGGTTTGAGACTGATCAGTATCACTGGGATAGCATACTGACCACTCATTACAGCCATCAATAGATTAGATGATTGTGACATTGTAACCATGGGCATATGAAACCATTGTGATTGAGTGAATACCTCATACTACAAAATCAAAACAACAACTTGAACTACATTTTCGAGGGTCAACAATTTGAGTCAGCGGATCTGTACAGCTGGAAAAAATGATGGTTCACCCACTGTTATTAATTCGAAGATTCCCTGTGAGGAATGAGTAAGTATCAGAACTCTTTGGTTTTCAAAAGGTACTAGTACTGACCGAGGAAGCAGGACGACTCTCCTACTCTTCTGAATGTCCAGCCCATCCTCCTTGAAGTACCTGTGACTCTCAAAGCTCCAAGAATCATGTCCCCTGGTCCAGTAAGCCAGGCCATCCAGATAGTGTTTCACTTGGTCATCAAACTCTTTACCAAAAGATGGGACATGGCACAGGTCCTCCAAGAAATTGTGTACAAGCTTTGAGCAGTAATCACCAACCCACTTCATTGCTTCGTTCAAACCGATATTTTCTTGATGCATCACGACAGTGACCACGTTATGAATTTCACCACGGGCTTGCTCGACATTGTAGGAATACATATCCTAGTCAAAGTTCAGAATGGAACATGGACGGTCGAGAGAACACAGAGATTACATTCATAAGTATGGACAGATCACGGCAGACATCAGTGAGTCTACGAATAACCGGATCTTCAAAGACCTCGTCCGGAAGATCGAGTGTGAATTGAATAGGCATGAATGTCGCGTTAATTGCGGCCGTAGAACGGCGGAGAATAATATAATCATCAACGTTCCTGATGAAGCATTGAGCACGATCATGAGCTTCTTCAACAACTGCAGTGGTGTATTCCTCGAGCGCTTCGATGAATCGACGGCGAACACTCTCGGATACACACTTCATTGACGACTGCGAGAATCTAAATGATGACATACAGCAATTAATTTTGAGAGCCTCTGAATACATCCGAGACTTACTGGCGACTAATCTCTCCAATTACACACTCGTCGGCTGACCTGGGTTTGTTAGGATTGCGTAAAGCATCCATGACAATCATGGCCAGTCCCTGAGCGTCATGAGGCATCGCAACGTCTGTGTAATCCTCGAAAAATGTATACAGAACCATGAGATCACAACACGCGCGAAGGACGTCTGCATACCACAGATATATAATTGATAAGAATGAGTAGATCATTCTGAGCTAGCAGACAAGTATACCTTTGTTCTCCAAAGGATACATGAGAGCAGATAGCAACCCTAATGATAGCAAAACGATCTAAACAGTCCTCTGGCCTAGATAGACAGACAAGTCTCACCAATCTTGCAGAAATCCATTGCTTGTTGTATACGGTGTGGGATCCCATTAAAACTTTGGATCCATGCTGACCATTCTGCTTCGGCCTGCAGGTAGTGTGGATTGAGAATGCGCTTCCAGGGCCATTGCACAAGAGGATCAGGGAGAATGAAGACGGATTCTGAGGGATCAGTGATCATTTTTTCAGTATGCCTTCCGAATCTTGTAGGGAAATGCTCACCAGATCCCTTTATTTATAACTGGAAAAGACAATTAGGAACCATTGCCTCTCAAGATAATATGACAGCTTGAATTCAATGGACAGCTAGAATTCAGTGGACAGCTCGAATTCAATGGACTCTGATGACTACCAAGTCGTAATGAGGACCCCGTTCAGGCAGGACTTGACCAAAGTGGCCTCTATTTAGAGTTTTAAACTAATTGAATTGCCTCCCATGGGTTTCTCCGCTGACTATCTGGAAAACCTGGTTACCCCATTGTTATTCACGATAGTCGAGCTCCAAACCAAATAGACTGTGGCCAATGATACCGCTGTAAGTGCGTCGAACGTGCGGCCCGACAAGTACAACTCGCGCTGAAATTTCTCTGAATCATGATTGTGTGATTGATATCATTAGAGCAGATTATTTCAACAACCTGGTCCGAAGCAAGGACTCTGACAGCAATCTGATCCGAGGTCAAGCAGCGAATCGGAAATGTTGAGGGGTTCTATTTTTGGAAATAGATGCCTTAGGATCAACACAAATAACCCCCTTAGAGTGCCATCAAGAAGGACAAAGTGTGCTGCCTTAGGTCGTTGCTGGCAGGATGGTGGGTGGTTGTTGATAGCACTTTAGGGGCATTATCTATGCTTATGTGAAGTACCCTAAGGAGACCAACTATATCTTGACCATACCTCTTCTCAAAGCTGAGATTCATGATTGGGCCTGGTCCAGGACTGCTGGATAGCCCTGGGTCAATAGTACTTGTGGCCCAAAGGTTGGAGGATGGGAATGAGAGGCTGGCCAAGAATAAGGAAAACAAAATGATA